CAATGGTCACTCTGACAGAGCTCCAGAGTTCCTCTGTGAAGATGGGAGAACTCTCCAGAAGGACAACCATCTCTGCAGCACTCCACCAATCAGGCCTTTATGGTAGAGTAGCCAGACTGAAGCCACTCCTCAGTAAAAGGCACATGACAGCCCGCTTGGAGTTTGCCAAAAGGCACCGAAAGGACCCTCAAAAACAAGATTTTACATTTTAGCAGACGCTCTTATCCAGAGTGAGTGAATACATTTTTTTTCTTTCTCATACTGGTCCCCCGTGGGAAACGAACCCACAACCCTGGCGTTGCAAATGCCATGCTCTACCAACTGAGCTACACAGGATTCTCTGGTCTGATGACACCAAGAGTGAACTCTTTGGCCTGAATGCCAAGTGTCACGTCTGGAGGAAACCTGGCACCATCCCTACGGTGAAGCACGGTGGTGGCAGCAGCATCATGCTGTGGGGATGTTTTTCAGTGGCAGGGACTGGGAGACTAGTCAGGATCGAGGGAAAGATGAACGAAGCAAAGTACAGAGAGATCCTTGATGAAAACCTGCTCCAGAGCACTCAGGACCTCAGACTAGGGTGAAGGTTTACCTTCCAACAGGACAACAACCCTAAGCACACAGCCAAGACAACGCATGAGTGGCTTTGGAACAAGTCTCTGAATGTCCTTGAGTGGCCCAGCCAGAGCCCGGACTTGAACCCGATCTAACATCTCTGGAGAGACCTGAAAATAGCTGTGCAGCAAAGCTCCCAAACCAACCTGACAGAGCTTGAGAGGATCTGCAGAGAAGAATGGGAGAAACTCCCCAAATACTGGTGTGCCAAGCTTGTAGCGTCATACCCAAGAAGACTCGAGGCTGTAATTGCTGCCAAAGGTGTTTCAACAAAGGGTCTGAATACTTATGTAAATGTGATATTTCTGTTTTAAAAAAATCTAAAAACCTGTTTTTGCTATGTTATTATGGGATATTGTGTGTAGATTGATGAGGGGGAAAAAAACTATTTAATCAATTTTAGAATAAGGCTGTAACCTAACAAAATGTGAAAAAAGTGAAGGGGTCTGAATAATTTCAGAATGCACTGTATATGAATCAGAAGAACAGTGGCATGAATGGGCCAAGACACTGAAAAAAATTAGTGAGGGGAGTTAGCCTTCCAATTCTCTACACCTGAAATGTGTGGTTTCTAAATGCTTGTTTGGGTGTAATTTTACAAAATAGTTCAGGGTGTTCCATTTACTTAGCAAGTGCATGAGGGCTTGGCAGAGCATTTCACAGGCTCATTTTGTGCTCTACCTGTGAGGGACAGCCTTATCTAAAGTGCATTGCATCAGAAACATGTCATCACAAAGTGTGGTAGTGCTCAGTCATCATGGTATGAAACAATGTCTACAATCAGACAGGGTCTTACAGGAGAGTGCTTGTGGAGATGTTTGAGGCTGTTCTCAAGGACCCTTGCCCCAATGTCTATTGGTATTAGCTTCTCCCTTGAACTTAATCAACAAACATATTTGATTGCTGTGAAAGTCCAGTTCCTACCACCGTACTTAGATTGTGTTTAAAGTAAAGTTAATGTTGTACAAATGTAGCACAGTGATATGTTTATATATAGGACTGGTATATCTATATATTTTTATTCAAGGATATTTACTATGTTGGACTATTTGAAATCAAGCTTTAAATATATATATATATATATAAATATATATATATATATATATATATATATATATATATATATATATATATATATATATATATATATTGCTCTTTGTGTCAATAGTTTTTTATTGCTCTTTTTGACTGTATCATAATTGTATTTTTTTATTGTTTCAAATTTTTTAAACATGTGTGTAAATGGTTTACCGTCAATTATCAGGACAAAACATAGTCCTGAGGACCTAGAACATTCTGTAAATAAGACATGTTGTATTGTTATCTGATGTTTAAATTCTTCTTTATGGAAAATGCCTTTATAAAGTGTCAATATCTTCATTTATTGTTATCAAGAGTTAATAAAACGTTATTTGTCATGTAAATTACTTCATTACCGCAAGCATAAAATTGATTTGTCATCATGTTTAGTTTTTTCTTTAAAACATCTTCAAATTGAGGGGAATGCGCAATATTGAAATTGAAAAACTATCTTATAGATAATTTTCTTAAATATTGAATAAATTGAGGGGGCATGCACATGCAGGATCCCCATTTTCTGCCTATTGAAATGTCTCTGTTTCAATGGGCATGACTCCACTGCTTGGCCTGCTTTCCAACACGTCTGTTGGGCTTCACAGACATTTTTTACGCCTTGGTTCAATTGTGGTCGTGGCTGTCATAATAGAGTACAGTGTGTTCTCCTAGCTCAGTTCCAGAAAGCACAGCAGCACACCACACGTTAGCTTAGCTCATAGCTATGATTCATATTTCCCTAAGGGGGCTAAAACAACCAGACTGTTGTTTTTCGTTTTGGAGGGTTATTTTTTATTTATTATAATATACAGTACCAGTCAAAAGTTTTGACACACCTACTCATTCAAGGGTTTTTCTTTATTTCTACAAATTGTTACATTGTAGGATAATAGTGAAGACATCAAAACTTTGAAATAACGCATATGGAATCATGTAGTAACCAAAAACGTGTTAAACAAATCAAAATATATTTTATATTTGAGCTCCTTCAAATAGCCACCCTTTGCCTTGATAACAGCTTTGCACACTCTTGGCATTCTCTCAACCAGCTTCATGAGGTAGTCACCTGGAATTTCAATTAACAGGTGAGCCTTCTTAAAAGTTAATTTGTGGAATTTATTTCCTTGTTAATGCATTTAAGCCAATCAGATGTGTTGTGACAAGGTAGGGGGGTGTATACAGAAGATAGCCCTATTTGGTAAAAGACCAAGTCCATATTATGGCAAGAACAGCTCAAATAATCAAAGAGAAACAACAATCCATCATTACTTTAAGACATGAAGGTCAGTCAATACTGAACATTTCAAGAACTTTGAAAGTTTTTCAAGTGCAGTCGCAAAAACCATCAAGCGCTATGATGAAACTGGCTCTCATGAGGACCGCCACAGGAATGGAAGACCCAGAGTTTCCTCTGCTGCAGAGGATAAGTTCATTAGAGTTACCAGTCTCAGAAATTGCAGCCCAAATAAATGCTTCACAGAGTTCAAGTAACAGACACATCTCAACATCAACTGATCAGAGGAGACTATGTGAAGAACCACTACTAAAGGACACCAATAAGAAGAAGAGACTTGCTTGGGCCAAGAAACACGAGCAATGGACATTAGACCGGTGGAAATGTGTTCTTTGGTCTGGAGTCCAAATTGGAGATTTTTGGTTCCAACCGCCGTGTCTTTGTGAGACGCGGTGTGGGTGAACAGATGATCTCCGCATGTGTAGTTCCCACCGTAAAGCATGGAGGAGGAGGTGTGATGGTGTGGGGGTGCTTTGCTGGCGACACTGTCTGTGATTTATTTAGAATTCAAAGCAAACTTTACCAGCATGGCTACCACAGCATTCTGAAGTGATACGCCATCCCATCTGGTTTGGGCTTAGTGGGACTATCATTTGTTTTTCAACAGGACAATGACCCAACACACCTCCATTCTGTGTAAGGGCTATTTGACCAAGAAGTAGAGTGATGGAGTGCTGCATCAGATGACCTACTTCCACAATCCCCCGACCTCAACCCAATTGAGATGGTTTGGGATGAGTCGGATGGCAGAGTGAAGGAAAAGCAGCCAACAAGTGCTCAGCATATGTGGGAATGCCTTCAAGACTGATGGAAAAGCATTCCAGGTTAAGCTGGTTGAGAGAATGCCAAGAGTGTGCAAAGCTGTCATCAAGGCAAAGGGTGGCAATTTAAGAATCTCAAATATAAATCTCAAATACAGTGCGCCTTAAATGCGTACTGGGAAAAGAAAACACAGGGGTGAATATCCCGGCGATAAAAGTACATAATGCTCAACCGAGCTAGCGACACCTCCACATGGAAACAACAACACACAAAGACATGGGGAGCAGAGGAAATAATTATACAGAGACTGATGAGGGGATATGAACCAGGTGTGTGTGAAAAACAAGACAAAACAAATGGAATGATGAAAAGAGGAGCGGCAGTGGCTAGAAGGCCGGTGACAACGAACGCCGAAGCCTGCCCGAACAAGGAGAGGAGGCAGCTTTGGAGGAAGTCATGACAATAATTTTGATGTCTTCACTGTTATTCTACAATGTAAAAAATAGTAAAAATAAAGAAAACCCCTTGAATGAGTAGGTGATTCCAAACTTTTGACTGGTAGCCTATATAACATACATACATACTGTACTGTACAACACAATAAGCATAACATGTTTATTAATAGTAGTTCATGCTGTAGTTTTGAACAGCCAAAAGGTAAAACTTTGATTTGTCACTAATAAACAAAATAAACTTGTGCAAATGTGTGATAAAACTGTATTAATCTTAAAGACTGTCTGTTGTCTATTTCCTCAAGATCACTGTGACCCACTACCACTGACAAGATAATGTAGCAATTGTGTATTCGGAGGCTACAGTGTAAACGTGTGTTAGGTTTATGTCATTCTATATGATCTCTAGTAGTCTCACAAGAAAGCTTTAGAGTGAAATTCACACGGATTATGATTGAGCATGGCTTGTCCCCAGTGCTGGCCCGTCTTTCACTGTCTGGCAAACAGAGATGACAATTTCCACACCCTTTTCTCAAGTTGGCCAAACCGCCTACCCAAGGGCCCAATCCCCTCCTTTCCAACCTCAACCCCTCCTACACATAGCCCATCGCACAACTAATGCTGGAACTGGCTCTCTCGCACACACACACACACACACACACACACACACACACACACACACACACACACACACACACACACACACACACACACACACACACACACACACACACACCCACAAACACACACACACACAACCTATCTCTGCCATGGAGAGGGCCCTTCCCTTTCCTGTATATAAGTGGATTCAGAGGGACCCCAGCAGCAGCCTGTCTTTGTGTGTGAGAGAGACAGACACTCATTCCCTGAGGATCAACTCTATTAGACAACTGCAGCTTTCCCCTCTTCAACTTCTACAGAGGTGAGTTTACCCTTCAGTGGTCACTGGTCAAGCAAATTTATTCTGCCTATGTCTCCAATCTTATTTGTTTGATACTGCAGGTATTTGACAATGCTTTGATGAAAAGCAATGCGATGCCTCATAGAATGCATCATTTGCATTACTCTAAATTCAGTTGCAGTACTCTTTGTTGTTTTGCTGTATACTAGTACACCATTTTTTCCTGTGGGCTTCTGAGAGTCCTAAATGGAAGCTAATGTTACAGTACCAGAGTGAGAACTGAATTGTTCTTTATTCCACATCATGTCATCTGGTTCAGGAATCAGGATTATTTGCCTCTGCGTCTTTTCTTTTCCTTTACATCTGCATTTGGTTCTAAAATGCTGTTAAACTATAGATCATTTTTAACTTGCAGGAGTCACATTTGCACTTTGCACAATGCTTCCGTGTCTATGTACACACTACATAAAACTGTTTGAATGGGGGACATTTTCAAAGCGCAGAAGCATTTTACAAAGTGCAAAAAAATATTATAAACCTAATTATAATCTGGCAGCATGACTAAATTATAAAATTTTCTTCAACAATGTGCGTCATAAAAGAACACAATTTATATTTTGCTCAGTTTATGAAACTCTATTTGAACAGTAATCTCTTTGTAACACAAGTTGTTCAAGAAGATTTTTTAATTAAAGGAAAACTCCACCCAAAAACAATATTTTGGTATTTGTTTCATTAATCCATCGTTGACATAGTCCCAAAACATTTTGCTTGTCAGCAATCAAGTTTTCAAGATATGTAACTTTCAAATACAGAAATCATCCCTGTATGATGCAAATTGCATCGTAGAGGGATGATTTCTATATTTGAAAGTTACATATGTTTTGGGACTATGTCAACGATGGACTAATGAAACAAATATCAAAAGTTCGTTTTTGGGTGGGGTTTTCCTTTAAATCATACTGTGATATTATAATGAGGTTTGCTGTATTTTTGGCACTTTGCACAATAATTTTGTGCTACGAACATGTCACCCTATACATACATTATGTATATGGCATAATCCACTGACTTATGGCTAAAAATAGTAATAACTTGCATCCTTTCTACCACAAAAAGGCACGGTCCCAGAGAACATCTATAAAAACCTGTGGTGATGTTGTTTATCCAGAATCAGCATTGACGAGCTAATGTCCAGGTGAAGGGGGTGATGGCACGACGTGAGCGTGCGTGCACACACGTTTGTGTGCTTGTGTGCGTGCCTGGTGTATGTGTGTGTGTGTGCCACGGGTCGTTAAGGTGAAACAGTGCTTTCACTGTGCAGGTCCATGACTCACCTTTCCAACACTGGCCAGAGACTGTCCCAAACCCCAAACCTGTCTCTTCGACCAGCACAGCACAGCACACGCCCATTACATAACTAAATTCTCAAATAGGTGTTTGTGCCACAAAGCTGCATGACGTATATTGTGCCGTACTTACATTTTTATGAAAACAACCATTGTTTATTTAATGACTAAAACAGCATTACCATACTTACATAATCATTTACATAAAACAACCACCCCCCTCCCTCCTCCCAACCTCAAGTAAAATAGGCTTTAAAGGTAAAGACCCCCAGGGGATGGTTGGTTGAGGTAACTCCTTTTTTTGTGCTGCTTTATTAACTTACAGTATGTCTAGAGACTTTTATTTACATTTAATCCACTAGTAGTTTGGACTTGGATACAGAGGATATAGTTTGTTAATGTATATTATTACCTAACTAATTGAAAATGTGCAAGGTCATTTCTTATTTTTACCACAGATACTGGCATACTTTTACCGGTACACTACTCATTGTGCAAATAAAAAAAATTAAAAATAAACGCTTATTTTTATTTTTTATAAATACCACATGATGATTCTAAGCAAAGGAATCTGATGACATCATTGTTGTGTCCCCCACACACTGACACAAAAGTTTCCCTTGTCATTTACCACCGTTTTCTCTCTTTACTTTTAAGATTAACTGCACATTCTGGTGACACACTAACCCCAAGGGACAGAGAATAACACAACACGCCAAAACAAACAACCAAACATCCCAAAATGTCTGACCTTGCCAACTGCTTTTCTGGAATTACACCCTAAGTAGGCTCCTCTTCATACTCTTTATACAGCACAGAAATAAACAAATAAACAAAAAATCAACACAGGCTCTACTCAGAGAAACCACAGAGCACTTCAAACCTAAGTTTACTTATCTACTCACTACAGTAATACACACTAATACACACATAGAAGTGGTTCCCAAAGTCCTCCTAGCACTGACTTTGCTGATAAATACTTTGTTGAGGGAAAATGTACTTGATATGATTGTGATGTGTTGTTGTCTCACCTAGCTATCTTAAGATGAATGTGCTAATTGTAAGTCGCTCTGGATAAGAGCGTCTGCTAAATGACAAAAATGTCAAATGTAATTTTTATTATTATTATTTTTTACTTGTGGTTTGTGTTAAGGTTTATGTGCACCTCATCCAGGTCAGTACTCAAGTTCACTATTCCTGCAGTTCATCCCTTAGCATCCGCAGTACAGCTGGGAGTGTCCTCCCCAAGGGCTAGCTGAATATGAATGGAGTCGTCAGTGATATGATACCATACCTAGGAATTGTCTGTCTGTCTGTCTGTCTGTCTGACTGTCTGACTCTCTGTCTCTGTCTCTGTCTGTCTCTGTCGCTGTCTCTCTCTGTTCATCTATCTGTCTGTCTGTGTCCCAGGCCTGTCAGGTGACGTTTCAGCGCTGGTACCATGTCTGACCCAGAGGCCGCCGCCCAGCCACCACCCCAGGTGTCTCACCGTGGCCGCAGTGCCGCCCCCATCGCCAGCTCCAATGCAGATGGGGAGGAGGTGCCTGAGTTCGAGCCCTTCGGCCTGATGCCCCGAGGACCACCCCCACTCAAGGGTGAGTAGGAGAAGGAGGCTGTGTGTGTGTGTGGACGTGTGCACGTGTGTGTTTGACTGTGTGTGTGTGCGGTGTGCGACAGAGAGAGACAGAAGTGTGTTTGCATGTCAGAGTGTTGGTTTGTGAGTCACTGTGTGCCTTGGTCACAAAAGATAAGAGTCCCTAAAATGACACTGTTTCCTGTAGATTTCGGATGCTGACTGACAAATGCATTCCGTTCAGAGTTATCTCAACACAAGTCTTCAAACACACCCTGAGTCTACCAGCCTTGTCACTGTTCTCCTCTCCTCAGCATTATCTCCCTAGACCACAAGGCAGGGTTCTGAATAAGAATGGAATGACTGGAATAAAGAACCTCCAACAGACTGGAAGTGACCTCAGCTGTCCCATCATGATAGGTCATAGCCATCTAAATAATGTCTTGTAGCGAGTTTCCCAAAAAGAATAAGCAACAACAACCACGTCGTTATGAATGTTGATTTTCGACTACAGTTGATCATTTTTATTATACATCACCACAGTCAGCAGACAAAGCTGTCTGTCTACCCTAGGATGAGAAGGTTCCCAAAGTTGAACACTCAAAGTAATCGGCCTTCACAATGCCTCTACCCCCCTTCACACATTTAAACTTGCAGCATCCTGTACATTATGTTATGTTAAAGCTAGAATCCTTAGTTGTTACACACATTTTCGGATTTATAAACAAATGATATATACACACTGATTCTTGAAGAATACAACTTATAAATACATAATGATTAGTTCAACTGTCGTATCTCATCAGAACCCAAAACATATAAGCTTGTTTTACTGCAATGTTTGTAAACAATGTAAATGTAAACAATGTAAATGCCTCAAAATAAGGTTAAAACTATAATTTTCATTTCATGGATGTTCAGTCCTTGCATCCATAGCTCTGTCTATGAATTTGAGAGTCGTTACATTTCTCCAGGCCCATCCCTCAGCATTTTACTGAAAAAGAGGCGGGGTGGCGGCTTTGTTATTGTATCAGTTAAGGATTGGAATAACTGCTCAAGGTCACATTGAAAAAACTCAGGGCCCAAGTTAACGATGACAAGTCTGCATCTCTCTCTCCTCCCTTTTATATTACTCTCTCTCCTCCTCTCTGTCCTCCTCTCTCTCCTCCTCTCTCTCCTCCTCTCTCTCCTCCTCTCCTATCAGAGTTCTTGGACATCTGGGACGTGAACATGCTGCGGAAGCCGAACGAGGTCAATAAGCAGCAGCACAGCACCTACCTGTACGCCAGCGACCACCTCATCGTTCGCAGGGGACAGGAGTTCCAGCTGAAGGTGACCTTTGACCGTCCCTACAAGCCCTCCGACGACAAGTTCGCTGTGGAGTTCGTCATCGGTGAGATAAAGAAACCCCCCACCTAAAAATGTCTAACTCCGAATCAGTGGTTACTAGTTAAGATGTAGTTCACTGTACGCACATCCAGTGACTTGCATCCAGATACAGGGTACAAAAAGTAAAGTCATGAAAAAAAGATACATTGAATGTAACCGCCACTTGAAACATAATAAAACTAAGGAGGAATGTGTGCAGGTATTTATCTTTCTTTCCCGTATCAGTGGATATGTCTACCATAGGTCTACCATAGCTCTAGTCCAGGGTGTTAGTACGAAGGCTCGGTGTAGGGTGAAGTTGTCCCTAGACGCTGATCTTGGGTCTGTTTTACATTTTCTCCACTAATGGTTAAGGTTAGGATTGGGGGATGGGAAGTTGATCCTAGATCTGTACCTAGAAGAAACTGCATCCCGGAGCCAAAGACCAGAGCTAGGTCTACCCCTGCCCTGACATGTCATTCCCCTGTTCCTCCTATCCACTAGGGGGCAGTCCCCAGTTCAGTAAGGGCACCTACATCCCTGTGTCTGTGACCAGTGACCGCCAGAGCCTGTGGGCTGGCCGGGTGGTGGACAGCACAGACAACGTGGTCACGGTGGGCATCACCCCAGCGCCAGACTGCATTGTGGGAAAGTGGCGCACGTACGTGGCGGTGGTGACGCCCTACGGAATCCGCAGGACCAGGCAGGATGAGAGTCGAGATGTCTACATCCTCTTCAACCCCTGGGTGGCAGGTCTGTGACACTCACTGATGACAGCAATCACACGAGCTTGTCCCCACATCAGTTGTTTGTGCTGATTGATTGATCGATCGATCGATTTAGCTCTATTCATCTCGTTACTCTATTAATCTACATTCTGATAATAGATTCCATTCTATTGTTCTGGCTTCCTTCCACCAGCTGATTCTGTGTTCCTGGATGAAGGCAATGAGAGGGAGGAGTGTGTTCTCAACGAGGTGGGGGTCATCTACCACGGAGCGTTTGACGACGTGTCTGAACGGCCCTGGAACTTCGGTCAGGTACAGAGAGACCCAGTGCACCACGACTAGCTATGCAATGATTGGTTTTGGTGTAGTGATACACTATTTGTGCCATGCAGAATTAATTTGTAACTACATGTAAGTCAGTATACATCAAATAGCAGGATAGTTGTTTATTTTGTTCATGTCATCTTTTTGTTTTGACTTTAATAAACAGTATGATTCTCTATGTGGTTCTCAAAGAAGTTCAGTTAACACTTAACTGAACGTTGCTTGTTGCAGTTTGACTATGGGGTGCTGGATGCCTGTCTGTTCATCATGGATAAAGCTGCCATGCCCATCACCAACAGGGGCGACCCCATCAAAGTAGCCCGGAAGGCCTCAGCCATGGTGAGGGTTACGGGGTTACTGCCAGTCAATACAGAGCAACCACTGAGATCACAATATTCTTACAGTACAACCATGTCATACAGTAGATTTATAAGAAAAAACTAAATGGAGGCCTGAAAAAATATTTTGTACAGAAGAGAGATTTGTACTTACAACTCACAGGCTTGTTACAAGCTATAGTTGCATCCGAAATGGCACTCTATTCCCCATATAGTGCATTACTTTTGACCAGGGTATTCCCTATATAATGCACTACTTTTGACCAGGGTATTCCCTATATAATGCACTACTTTTGACCAGGGTATTCCTTATATAATGAATTACTTTTGACCAGGTTATTTCCTATATAATACAGTACTTTTGATCAGGGTATTCCCTATATAATGCACTACTTTTGACCAGGGTATTCCCTATATAATGCACTACTTTTGACCAGGGTATTCCTTATATAATGAATTACTTTTGACCAGGTTATTTCCTATATAATACAGTACTTTTGATCAGGGTATTCCCTATATAATGCACTACTTTTGACCAGGGTATTCCCTATATAATGCACTACTTTTGACCAGGGTATTCCTTATATAATTAATTACTTTTGACCAGGTTATTTCCTATATAATACAGTACTTTTGATCAGGGTATTCCCTATATAATGCACTACTTTTGACCAGGGTATTCCCTATATAATGCACTACTTTTGACCAGGGTATTCCCTATATAATGCACTACTTTTGACCAGGGTATTCCTTATATAATGAATTACTTTTGACCAGGTTATTTCCTATATAATACAGTACTTTTGATCAGGGTATTCCCTATATAATGCACTACTTTTGACCAGGGTATTCCCTATATAATGCACTACTTTTGACCAGGGTATTCCTTATATAATGAATTACTTTTGACCAGGTTATTTCCTATATAATACAGTACTTTTGATCAGGGTATTCCCTATATAATGCACTACTTTTGACCAGGGTATTCCCTATATAATGCACTACTTTTGACCAGGGTATTCCTTATATAATTAATTACTTTTGACCAGGTTATTTCCTATATAATACAGTACTTTTGATCAGGGTATTCCCTATATAATGCACTACTTTTGACCAGGGTATTCCCTATATAATGCACTACTTTTGACCAGGGTATTCCTTATATAATTAATTACTTTTGACCAGGTTATTTCCTATATAATGCACTACTTTTGACCAGGGTATTCCCTATATAATGCACTACTTTTGACCAGGGTATTCCTTATATCATTAATTACTTTTGATCAGGGTATTCCCTATATAATGCACTACTTTTGATCAGGCTATTCCCTATATAATGCACTATTTTTGATCAGGGTATTCCCTATATAATGCACTATTTTTGATCAGGGTATTCCCTATATAATGCACTATTTTTGACTAGGCCCCACAAGGCTCTGTTCAAAAGAAGTGCACTGTAAAGGGATTAGGGTGCCATTTCGGATGCAGACAACCGTACGTTTGCCTCTCTCCCAGATGAACTCTCGTGACGACGACGGGGTGCTGGTGGGGAACTGGAGTGGTGACTACACCTACGGAGTGGCACCTACCTCCTGGACTGGAAGTACTGAAATCCTCCTCAACTACTCCAGCAGCAAGATGCCCGTCTGCTATGCCCAGTGCTGGGTCTACGCTGCCGTCTTTAACACCTGTGAGACCTGCATAAGGCTACAATATACCCCAAATTCCCCAAATTCCTTGTTTTTTCAGAAATCTGTAATGATTCCAGAAACGTTTGAACCAGGATTTCCCCCCAATTTCTTTTGCACATTTTGGGATTTTTACAATGCTAATGAGTGAAATATTTGGGATGATTTCAAAATTAATTACTCACATTAATTTCCTACTATTTGATGTGCAGAATTCCTATTTTTTTGTATTTTGAAAACGTTTTTGCTGATTCTACCATTTTTATTTCCTTCCCCCTCCCCAGTCTTACGCTGTCTGGGCATCCCCGCCAGGGTTGTCACCAACTTCTTCTCTGCCCACGACAATGATGGCAACCTGAAAACTGACATCATCCTGGATGAGAATGGCAGAATTGACAAGCAACGCACCAAGGACTCCATCTGGTAGAATTGTTCCAGTGACAGATAATGCTTGAAATCACTTTCTGATTTGAATTGATTTAATTTGATCATTTAAAAATACAATTCAGCCACACGAGTGGAGACACTGCATTTAAAATGATTTATGTTACTGTCAAATAATGAAATGGTTGTGTTGCCGTAGGAACTACCATTGCTGGAATGAGTGCTACATGAGCAGGCCAGATCTTCCTCAGGGGTTTGGGGGCTGGCAGGTTGTGGATGCTACACCCCAAGAGACCAGTGATGGTGAGCTGTTCCTACACACAAGCACACACACACACAGATAAGCACACACACACACACATACGCAGGAACACCCACACACACACAGAAACACACACACACACAATTTAACTGATCGTGTTATAATTTTTATATAACCATGTTATGAAATGTATATGCTCTGTTGGGTCATTTCAAACGGTTGTAGTTACTATATTACTAATACCTAATGTGTCTTTTCCTTGTGTCCAGGGATGTACAGGTGTGGCCCTGCATCCGTCCAGGCCATCAAACATGGCCAGATCTGCTTCCCGTTCGACGCACCTTTCGTGTTTGCTGAGGTAAAGACTACAACAATGAGCCACCCCGGTGGCGCAAGACAACAACTGCACAGGACAGTATACAAAATGTTCACAACCCGTATTGTTCACTTACCAAGACAGTTCATTTTTGGTTGCATCAGTTTGAATCAGTGAGCTCAATTGTATTAGTGAATATACAGTACCAATACATGTGTTTTGGTATTACTAGTATATATGACATATATATGACTAAACATATCCCGATATTACTAATTACTGGTGTTTTCCATGATGAATGTGTCCCAACTTTTCTATAGGTGAACAGTGATGTGGTGTTCTACTCGCGGAACCCCAGAGATGGAACCCTGCTGCCGGTCAAGGTCAACAGCAGCCACGTTGGCAGGATGGTGGTGACCAAAGCTCCCGGCCAGGACACTCGCCGTGACATCACTGACCAGTACAAGTTCTCCGAAGGTAAGAGAAGAGAGAGGAGGGAGGGATGGAGGGAGTGTCACAGAGCAAAAACGTAAAGGGACGGTTTCCCGGACACAGATTAAAGATGCACTATGCAGAAATCACTCCGCCATTTCCTGGTTGCTAAAATTCTAATAGTTTGCCTAATTTCAGTTTATGTGACAAAACAAGCAAGTATAGTGTAGAGAATCATTGTACCCTCTAAACCGCTATGAAATATATTTCCATAACCAAAAATATTGTCATTTTCAGCTGTTTGAAGATGCAAAAACTAAATTTAAGCACGGGAAGCATAGAAATAGTGCACATAGAACAGATTTACCGCTTCTTAGACTTGCTTTCAATGAGAATGACAGATCTATAACTCAAATGTCGATGTGAATTTGGTCAGGTCGCCCAAAAAGTTACATATTGCAGCTTTGAGCCTATAGGACTAAAAAGCATGCTTGATAGAGAATCTCATTTTGAAAGTGTTTGGACTAGACTTAATCTGTCTGGGAAACTGTCAGTCTGTGTCAGGGCCTGTCCACTCCTCTTTGTCATAAAAAGTCCTAATAAGTCACCCCCATATCTGGCTTTTCATCAAGTGAATCTTACCTCCAATCACGTTTACATATACAAAAAAGGTAACAAAATGTAAAAGTAAGGGTTTTGTCTCTGTGTGAATGAAGTACGACCACCCTAAAAACCCAGATTCTAAATGCAGACTACTTCTGAAACAAACCATATAATCTTTCCCTTTCATCTGTGGTCTCCCACATCTACAGGTAGTCCAGAGGAGCGCACGGTTCTGGAGAAGGCAGAGGAGTATGGTTGTCAGCGTGAGAAGGCCACACCTCTAGAGGCCGACGTGGACCTGGACATGCCTCTGATCGAGGTGAGGGTGGGGGATGACTTCGAGCTGAAGCTGGAGTTCAACAACAAGAGTGGCCAGGCTCGCACCGTGGACGTGTACGTCAGTGGCAACGTGGTATATTACACAGGAGTCACCAGCTCTGAGTTCCTCTTCAAGACCCCTAAAGTGACACTGGATCCCAGGAAAGGTGGGCAGGTGGGGGAGGAGGGGTGGTGTGTGAATATGTGGGTTTGTGGGTTCTTGTAAGATCAATGTTCTCTCTACTAGCGGCAAGCCAGTTGCCCTCCCATATTTCTAAAGCAAGATACATGAAAATTAAATTTAAACTCAAGGAGACAAAGCATATCCTAAGAAAGTCATCTCTGTGTGTCCACAGCTGAGAAGAAAGTGATCCAGGTGCGTTCCCAGGACTACATGAGACAGCTGGTGGAGCAGGCCAACCTCCACTTTATCGCCACTGGGAAGGTCAAGGAGACGGGTCAGATTGTCACCGCCATGAGGGTCGTCACTCTTCACAACCCCAAACTCTCTGTCCAGGTCAGAGGTCATGTTTTTAGGAGTGGTTATGTGCACACAGCCCGAAAAGTTGTGTACATTGTGGAAAACACAAAATTAATCAATTTGTACTATATAGAGCAGGGGTGTCAAACATACAGTCCCCCGCAAGGGGGTCCAATCCGGCTCGTGGGTGGTTTGAGTAAAACATATATATTTTTTTAATGTTTTATTTTGGGGTGGGGGGGACGAACTCAATATACTTAAAAATGACTAAAACTATATAGAAATTATAATGGACCTACAGTTGAAGTCGGAAGTTTACATACACTTAGGTTGGAGTCATTAAAACTCGTTTTTCAACCACTCCACAAATTTCTTGTTAACAAACTATAGTTTTGGCAAGTCGGTTAGGATTTAGGATCTAATTTGTGCATGACACAACTAATTTTTCCAACAATTGTTTACAGACACTTATAATTTACTGTATCACAATTCCAGTGGGTCAAAAGTTTACATACACTAAGTGAGTGTGGACTCGTCATTGATTGAACCGTTCGAAAATCAAAAATCGATGTTTAAGTTTACGAAAGTCAAAGGCCAATGACTTGATTTAACACAATGAGGTGACTTCGGACTGACTGGAGCTTGGCGCATGATCGAGAAGATTGTGGACTTGTATGCTTGGCAGAGACTGCTAAGGGCTTGGAATGACTCGAACTAAATTAGACTTTGGACTCGATTAGTATGGATGGTTGGATTTGATGACTTGGGACGTTGCTCTATCTTTTATCGATTACTGGGCTCGAGGCAAAGACTTGAGACTTACTTGTACGTCATACATGACTTTGTCCGACCTCGTGCTGTTGACTGTGGCTTACAACACTTGGAAATTCCAAAAAATGCTCATAGCTTTAGAAGCTTCTAATAGCCATATACATATTGAGCAACTGGAGGTGTTTCCAGTATTTCAAGCGGTTAGAACCGAATTTGCGCTAGTCTGTCCTTCTCTGGCGGGAGGTAAGCTTGGCTTATATGGTGTCGAGTAAAGCTTAAACCATGTATTTAGATTGTAGGTAGGTAGGTATTGTAGTTAGGTATTGTAGGTAGTTTATCTAGGTAGTTATTGTAGGTTATTGTAGGTAATTATTGTAGGTAAGTATTGTATTCGGCTGAGCCCGGTGAAGCACGAGGCTAGCTAACTCACTACCTGGACCAATAAAGCTAGCTAGCTAGCTAGCGGGTAGCTACTGGTAACTATTAGCAACTGTGGATAGTTGTTTCCAATGTTATTTCACGCTTAAGAGTACCTGTAATTATGCCAGCTAGCTACCAACCATTCAGCTGTTTTTCTAACCTCATTATCTGAAGCGTTAACGTTAGGTAGTTAGTAGCTACTGTACTCTAAATGTAGCTACCTGGATAGCTAACTAAACAATAGCTAGAACGACCTAGCTTTAATATTTGGAGACGCTTTCTCTCCGTTGGAACAGACGCAAACTGGCTGAATCGATTCAGTGGCTAGCTTTGCACTTAACTGGCTAACAGTTGCTACTAAGGGTAAGTTATAACCTACATTTATTTTTGTTTTGTTTTTACATACTGGTAACCAGAGTCGTTCAAGGGAATTCGGGACATGGGTGACTAGTTAACGTTAGCTTGGCTCTCTGTGTTCGTGCCGTGGGAGGAGGGGTTAGTTCGTTGGCAGAGAGCAGTGGCTAGCTAGTATGCTAACTATTCTAGCTAACTAACTGGCTGAATAAGTTGACGACGTACTCACTCAAACTGTCAAAACTAACCCCAAACTTTACACAACGTTAGACACGGACACGAATGATCTGCTTGGCGTGTTAACACACTGGTGGTTTGTTGTAACCGAGTATTGGTGCTAAACCGTGTTATTGGAGGCTGGCATGCTAGTTGGCTTTGGCGTCATAGGATTCGGTGCCCTGGACGGTTTTCACGGAAGAATACTTTACCAAGTTAGCTAGCTGAATAAACTAAGTTAGAGTCTATTCCTAGAAAACATTGAACCTCTGTAGTTTACAACAATTATAATTTCTAAAGTGGAAGTTGGGAGAGTTATATTTGAGTGTTTCAGTGAAAAGTAAGTGAGGGAGGCCCCGCTCTCTCGCTTTCCCAGATGTTTAGGTCATTTCATTCCGATCTCCTTTGCATTATTGTAGCCCTTTTCTGTAGCCTGTCAACTATATGTCTGTCTATCCCTGTTCTCTCCTCTCTGCACAGGCCATACAAACGCTTCACACCACGTGGCTGTTGCCACTCTAATCTGGTGGTCCCTGCGCGCACGACCCACGTGGAGTTCCAGGTCTCTGGCAGCCTCTGGAACTGCCGCTCTGCGGCCAACAAGGCAGATTTCATCTCAGCCTATGCTACCCTCCAGTCCCTCGACTTCTTGGCGCTGACGGAAATATGGATTACCACAGAAAACACTGCTACTCCTACTGCTCTTTCCTCGTCTAACCATGTGTTCTCGCATACCCCGAGAGCATCTGGTCAGCGCAGCGGTGGCACAGGAATCCTCATCTCTCCCAAGTGGACATTCTCTCTTTATCCCCTGACCCATCTGTTTATCTCCTCATTTGAATTCCATGCTGTCTCATTCACTAGCCCATTCAAGCTTAACATCCTTGTCATTTATCGCCCTCCAGGTTCCCTTGGAGAGTTCATCAATGAGCTTGACAAGTTCCTTTCCTGAGGATGGCTCACCCATCACAGTTCTGGGTGACTTTAACCTCCCTACGTCTGCCTTTGACTCATTTCTCTCTGCCTCCTTCTTTCCACTCCTTTCCTCTTTTGACCTCACCCTCTCACCGTCTCCCCCTACTCACAAGGCAGGCAATACGCTTGACCTCATCTTTACTAGATGCTGTTCTTCTACTAATCTCACTGCAACTCCCCTCCAAGTCTCTGACCTCTACTTTGTATCCTTTTCTCTCTCGCTCTCCTCCAACACTACTCACTCTGCCCCTACTCAGATGGTAATGTGCCATCGCAACCTTCACGCTCTCTCTCCCGCTACTCTCTCCTCTTCCATCCCATCATCTCTTCCCTCTGCTAAATCCTTCTCCCTCCGATCTCCTGATTCTGCCTCCTCAACCCTGATCTCCTCCCTTTCTGCATCTTTTGACTCTCTATGTCCCCTATCCTCCCGGCCGGCTCAGTCCTCCCCTCCTGCTCCGTGGCTTGACGACTCATTGCAAGCTCACAGAAGAGGACTCCGGGCAGCCGAGCGGAAATGGAGGAAAACTAGACTCCCTGCGGACCTGTCATCTTTTCACTCCCTCCTCTCTACATTCTCTTCCTCTGTTTCCGCTGCTAAAGCCACTTTCTACCACTCTAAATTTCAAGCCTCTGCCTCTAACCCTAGGAAGCTCTTTGCCACCTTCTCCTCCCTGCTGAATCCTCCTCCTCCTCCCCCTCCCTCCTCCCTCTCTGTGGATGACTTCATCAACCATTTTGAAAAGAAGGTTGACGACATCCGATTCTCATTTATCAAGTCAAATGACACCGCTGGTCCTGCTCACACTGCCCTACCCTATGCTTTGACTTCTTTCTCCCCTCTCTCTCCAGATGAAATCTTGCGACTTGTGACGGCCGGCCGCCCAACAACCTTCCCGCTTGATCCTATCCCCTCCTCTCTTCTCCAGACCATTTTCAGAGACCTTCTCCCTTACCTCACCTCGCTCATCAACTCATCCTTGACCGCTGGCCATGTCCCTTCCGTCTTCAAGAGAGCGAGAGTTGCACCCCTCCTCCAAAAACCTACACTCGATCCCTCCGATGTCAACAACTACAGACCAGTATCCCTTCTTTATTTTCTCTCCAAAACTCTTGAGCGTGCCGTCTCTAGCCAACTCTCCTGCTATCTCTCTCAGAATGACCTTCTTGATCCAAACCAGTCAGGTTTCAAGACTGGTCATTCAACTGAGACTGCTCTTCTCTGTGTCACGGAGGCTCTCCGCAGTGCTAAAGCTAACTCTCTCTCCTCTGCTCTTATCCTTCTAGACCTATCCGCTGCCTTTGATACTGTGAACCATCAGATCCTCCTCTCCACCCTCTCCGAGTTGGGCATCTCCGGCGCTGCTCACTCTTGGATTGCGTCCTACCTGACAGGTCGCTCCTACCAGGTGGCATGGCGAGAATCTGTCTCTGCACCACGTGCTCTCACCACTGGTGTCCCCCAGGGCTCAGTTGTAGGCCCTCTCCTATTCCCTCTATACACCAAGTCACTTGGCTCTGTCATATCCTCACATGGTCTCTCCTATCATTGCTATGCAGACAACACACAATTAATTTTCTCCTTTCCCCCTTCTGATAACCAGGTGGCGAATCGCATCTCTGCATATCTGGCAGACATATCAGTGTGGATGTCGGATCACCACCTCAAGCTGAACCTTGGCAAGACGGAGCTGCTCTTCCTCCCGGGGAAGGACTGCCCACTCCATGATCTCGCCATCACAGTTGACAACTCCATTGTGTCCTCCTCCCAGAGTGCAAAGAACCTTGGCGTGACCCTGGACAACACCCTGTCATTCTCTGCTAACATCAAAGCGGTGACCCAATCCTGCAGGTTCATACTCTACAACATTCGCAGAGTATGACCCTGCCTTACACAGAAAGCGGCACAGGTCCTAATCCAGGCACTTGTAATCTCCCGTCTGGATTACTGCAACTCACTGTTGGCTGGGCTCCCTGCCTGTGCCATTAAACCCCTACAACTTATCCAGAACGCCGCAGCTCCTCCGCACACTCCACTGGCTTCCAGTTGAGGCTCGCATCTACTACAAGACCATGGTGCTTGCCTATGGAGCTGTGAGGGGAACGTCACCTCCTTACCTCTGATCAGACCCTACACCCAAACGAGGGCACTACGTTCATCCACCTCTGGCCTGCTAGCTCCCCTACCTCTATGGAAGCACTGTTCCCGCTCAGCCCAGTCAAAGCTATTCGCATATAAACTCTAGTCTTCTAATAGTCATACATTATTAGTTTAACTGAGGGTGTGACATTTTTGTCATATCTTACACACACATTTCTTTATCAACTGCACATGGGGACAAAGATCGTACTTTTTGGAGAAATGTCCTCTGGTCTGATGAAACAAACATAGAACTGTTTGGCCATAATGATCATCGTTATGTTTGGAGGAAAAAGGGGGTGCTTGCAAGCCGAAGAACACCATCCCAACCGTGAAGCCCGGGGGTGGCAGCATCATGCTGTGGGGGTGCTTTGCTGCAGGAGGGACTCGTGCACTTCACTAAATAGATGGCATCATGAGGAAGGGAAATTATGTGGAACATCTCAAGACATCAGTCAGGAAGTTAAAGCTTGGTCGCAAATGGGTCTTTCAAATGGACAATGACCCCAAACATACTTCCAAAGTTGTGGCAAAATGGCTTAAGGACAAGGTATTGGAGTGGCAATCACAAAGCCCTGACCTCAATCCTATAGAACATTTATGGGCAGAACTGAAAAAGCTTGTGCGAGCAAGGAGGCCTACAAACCTGACTCAGTTACACCAGCTCTGTCAGGAGGAATGGGCCAACATTCACCCAACTTATTGTGGGAAGCTTGTGGAAGGCTACCCGACACGTTTGACCTAAGTTAAACAATTTAAAGGCAATGCTACCAAATACTAATTGAGTGTGTATGTAAACTTCCGACTTCAATTGTACATTCATATAGTTTTTTGACTGTGTTCAGCTCGCTAATAATCAGCCAAATTATCAAGCATCGAAAATTCCAAAAATTATGGATAGAGGACTATTTTTGCCTAATTTTGACGGCGAGGAAATATAACCAATTTTCAGTGCAGCCCTCCGGACCTCGTTGAAGACCGAATAAAGACTGAATGCGGCAAAATTAGTTTCACATCCCTGGTATAGAATACACTGTATTTTCCAAATATGCTCCGTTTATTGATCCTAGCTGGGTCTTCACGGACAGGATCAGGACCAACTCTCATCCCTTCTCTATAGGTCTCTGGTCTGGCTAAGGTGAGTGAGGAGATGTTAGTGACTGTGGAGTTCACCAACCCATTCAAGTTCAACCTGGAGGATGTGTACGTTCGTGTGGAGGGGCCAGGAGTCATGCCACCCAAGTCTAAACATTACAGGTGAGCTGAGTGATACCTGTATGTGTGTGTGTGTGTTTTTTGTGTGTGAGTGCATACTCATGTGTGTACATGTGTGTATTCCAGTCTGATCACGGCTGGCTCGTCCCTGACGTGGACGGAGAGTTTCACCCCCCGAAGGGAGGGACCCACCAAGCTGATGGCCAGTCTGGACTGTGCTGCACTCAGGCAGGTGTACGGTCAGGCCCAGCTGACTGTCAAGCCCTGAGCAACACAGGGGAGATGGCACAGCTATACTACACAGCTATAGCACAGCTAGACAGCCTAGTTACAGCCTAGTTACAACCTAGTTACAGCCCAGCAAGCAACAGTTAAGAGATGTTCTTCTTCTTGGATGGATCACGTAGCTTCACAAAAGAGGCAATATTTTCTAACTATGCGACATTTAGTGTAGTTCAATGTAATTGTTTTCATTTCTATACATGGAAAACACAACTACATCATAGCTACTACAGCCCAGCTACCAACAGTTTAGAGATTGGGCTTGAATATTAGGTCTAATGCATTGTTCAATAAATCTTCACAAGAGATGCAACATTTTCTAACCACAATATGCAACATTTATTGAAATTGTTGAAAAGTTAAATGTTTTCTTTTCTTTTCTTTTTTTGACTTCTATGCAAGAAAAATACTTATATTACCCAAATTAAAAAAATTAACATGAATATGATTGCATGTTATCAATTATTGTTTTTATGGCAATATATTTTTGTTTTGAAATGTCCAGATAAGATCAAATATTGAATTTCTCGTTATCATCCAGTTCTAAGTTTGAAGTTGTGCACCTTGCCCTAAGTGAGACGGGGATGAGTGAGTAAGTGACTTGTGCACTTCTGTGCTTCGTTCACTTCCACACAAGCCTAGGGGTTTATTTTCATAGGCTGTGTTCACACAGCCATCCTAAGATTTTTTCTTCATGTCCAATATTTTATTCTGACTGTTCTGACAGTTTTATTTCTGACCCATATCAGATTAGCGCATTCACACCGATGTATTCTCTGAAATAGCATGCAGATGCAATGCTTATTTCCTATCACTGTTCCTTTCAAATTTGGTGTGGTAGTCTTGGTAATGGCAGATCATGTGCAAAAAATGTATACTACATGTTCAAATACGTACAGTGAGGGAAAAAAGTATTTGATCCACTGCTGATTTTGTACGTTTGCCCACTGACAAAGAAATGATCAGTCTATAATTTTAATGGTAGGTTTATTTGAACAGTGAGAGACAGAATAACAACAAAAAAATCCAGAAAAACGCATGTCAAAAATGTTATAAATTGATTTGCATTTTAATGAGGGAAATAAGTATTTGACCCCCTCTCAATCAGAAAGATTTCTGGCTCCCAGGTGTCTTTTATACAGGTAACGAGCTGAGATTAGGAGCACACTCTTAAAGGGATTGCTCCTAAACCCAGTGTGTTACCTGTATAAAAGAAACCTGTCCACAGAAGCAATCAATCAATCAGATTCCAAACTCTTCACCATGGCCAAGACCAAAGAGCTCTCCAAGGATGTCGGGGACAAGATTGTAGACCTACACAAGGCTGGAATGGGCTACAAGACCATCGCCAAGCAGCTTGGTGAGAAGGTGACAACAGTTGGTGTGATTATTCGCAAATGGAAGAAACACAAAAGAACTGTCAATCTCCCTCGGCCTGGGGTTCCTTGCAAGATTTCACCTCGTGGAGTTGCAATGATCATGAGAACGGTGAGGAATCAGCCCAGAACTACACGGGAGGATCTTGTCAATGATCTCAAGGCAGCTGGGACCATAGTCACCAAGAAAACAATTGGTAACACACTACGCCGTGAAGGACTGAAATCCTGCAGCGCCCGCAAGGTCCCCCTGCTCAAGAAAGCACATATACATGCCCGTCTGAAGTTTGCCAATGAACATCTGAATGATTCAGAGGAGAACTGGGTGAAAGTGTTGTGGTCAGATGAGACCAAAATGGAGCTCTTTGGCATCAACTCAACTCGCCGTGTTTGGAGGAGGAGGAATGTGCCTATGACCCCAAGAACACCATCCCCACCATCAAACATGGAGGTGGAAACATTATGCTTTGGGGGTGTTTTTCTGCTAAGAGGAAATGGACAACTTCACCGCATCAAAGGGACGATGGACCGGGCCATGTACTGTCAAATCTTGGGTGAGAACCTCCTTCCCTCAGCCAGGGCATTGAAAATGGGTCGTGGATGGGTATTCCAGCATGACAATGACCCAAAACACACGGCCAAGGTAACAAAGGAGTGGCTCAAGAAGAAGCACATTAAGGTCCTGGAGTGGCCTAGCCAGTGTCCAGACCTTCATCCCATAGAAAATCTGTGGAGGGAGCTGAAGGTTCGAGTTGCCAAACGTCAGCCTTGAAACCTTAATGACTTGGAGAAGATCTGCAAAGAGGAGTGGGACAAAATCCCTCCTGAGATGTGTGCAAACCTGGTGGCCAACTACAAGAAACATCTGACCTCTGTGATTGCCAACAAGGGTTTTGCCACCAAGTACTAAGTCATGTTTTGCAGAGGGGTCAAATACTTATTTCCCTCATTAAAATGCAAATCAATTTAGAACATTTTTGACATGCGTTTTTCTGGATTTTGTTGTTGTTAGACTGATCATGTCTTTGTCAGTGGGCAAACGTACAAAATCAGCAGGGGATCAAATACTTTTTTCCCTCACTGTATAGACAGGTGTGTGCTTTTCCAAGTCATGTCCAATCAATAGAATTTACCACAGGTGGACTCCAATCAATTTGTAGAAACTGTTGGATGATCAATAGAAACAGGATGCCCCTGAGCTCAATTTCGAGTCTCATCGCAAATGGTCTGAATACTTATGTAAATAAGGTATTTCTGTTTTGTCATTATGGGGTATTGTGTGTAGATTGATGAGGGATAAAAAAATACTTTCCGAATGCACTTGCACTCTGTCCAAGAAAACAATTATATAAAATTAAAGAATATTAATAGTACACTACTTCTACTTATAAAACAATTGTCTACAAATTAAAGCAACAAAGTAATTTATCATAGTGCATAGTTTTATGATCAGAGGCGAAGTGAGAGTGAAGATGCTTTACAGACACCTTCGATGTTCATGATGAGACAAACCACAAAGTGTACGGGGTGATATGAAGTCATGTGATTGAGGGGAAGTGTGTGTGTGTCTGTGTGTGTACGTTGTACGTGTGTACCTATAATTGTGTGTGTGCCTGCATATGTCAGAAAATCATAACATGAAGTTGCTGCGACAATGACACAAATGTAACAGATTAGAGAGTGGGATACTTCATCATAATGCTTAAAACATAATGAGGTCATCATCAGTGATTTTAAAAGAATTGTGAGAAGATAGCTTCCGTGTGATAAGGTGAGTGTGTTGTTCTGTTTCTATGTGAACACACTAAAATGATAGAAAGACTGCACTTTGAAGTCTGATGAGATACTATGTTGTTTTGTTGATTTTATTTACTTAAAAATAGTTACTTACTTAAAAATAAAATATAGTTCTGAATTGCATTAATAAGCGAGATAAGAATCCCAGAAGGAAACACCTAGCCACATAAGTCCAACATTCAGCAAGAAAGTTCAAGATGGATTTCTCTAAAATCTATGCACATCCAAAATAAATAATGATATTATATTTCTGTGATTTACACAATTCCAAAACAATGGTCACCCGAACCCAGTTTTAAAATGACCTATAGAAAAAAAAAGAGAAAATAAATAAATGCAGACATTTCTGTGCAGACAAACTACTCCAAAATATATGTTGTACTTTATCATAACCTTTGTGTCAAATACAGTGAGGGAAAAAAGTATTTGATCCCCTACTGATTTTGTACGTTTGCCCACTGACAAAGACATGATCAGTCTATAATTTTAATGGTAGGTTTATTTGAACAGTGAGAGACAGAATAACAACAAAAAAATCCAGAAAAACGCATGTCAAAAATGTTATAAATTGATTTGCATTTTAATGAGGGAAATAAGTATTTGACCCCTCTGCAAAACATGACTTAGTACTTGGTGGCAAAACCCTTGTTGGCAATCACAGAGGTCAGCCGTTTCTTGTAGTTGGCCACCAGGATTGCACATATCTCAGGAGGGATTATGTCCCACTCCTCTTTTGTCCCACTCCAGATCTTCTCCAAGTCATTAAGGTTTCGAGGCTGACGTTTGGCAACTCGAACCTTCAGCTCCCTCCACAGATTTTCTATGGGATTAAGGTCTGGAGACTGGCTAGGCCACTCCAGGACCTTAATGTGCTTCTTCTTGAGCCACTCCTTTGTTGCCTTGGCCGTGTGTTTTGGGTCATTGTCGACCCATTTTCAATGCCCTGGCTGAGGGAAGGAGGTTCTCACCCAAGATTTGACGGTACATGGCCCCGTCCATCGTCCCTTTGATGCGGTGAAGTTGTCCTATCCCCTTAGCAGAAAAACACCCCCAAAGCATAATGTTTCCACCTCCATGTTTGACGGTGGGGATGGTGTTCTTGGGGTCATAGGCAGCATTCCTCCTCCTACAAACATGGCGAGTTGAGTTGATGCCAAAGAGCTCGATTTTGGTCTCATCTGACCACAACACTTTCACACAGTTCTCCTCTGAATCATTCAGATGTTCATTGGCAAACTTCAGACGGGCATGTATATGTGCTTTCTTGAGCAGGGGGACCTTGCGGGCGCTGCAGGATTTCAGTCCTTCACGGCGTAGTGTGTTACCAATTGTTTTCTTGGTGACTATGGTCCCAGCTGCCTTGAGATCATTGACAAGATCCTCCCGTGTAGTTCTGGGCTGATTCCTCACCGTTCTCATGATCATTGCAACTCCACGAGGTGAGATCTTGCATGGAGCCCCAGGCCGAGGGAGATTGACAGTGCTTTTGTGTTTCTTCCATTTGCGAATAATCGCACCAACTGTTGTCACCTTCTCACCAAGCTGCTTGGCGATGGTCTTGTAGCCCATTCCAGCCTTGTGTAGGTCTACAATCTTGTCCCTGACATCCTTGGATAGCTCTTTGGTCTTGGCCATGGCGGAGAGTTTGGAATCTGATTGATTGATTGCTTCTGTGGACAGGTGTCTTTTATACAGGTAACAAGATTAGATTAGGAGCACTCCCTTTAAGAGTGTGCTCCTAATCTCAGCTCGTTACCTGTATAAAAGACACCTGGGAGCCAGAAATCTTTCTGATTGAGAGGGGGTCAAATACTTATTTCCCTCATTAAAATGCAAATCAATTTATAACATTTTTGACATGCGTTTTTCTGGATTTTTTGTTGTTATTCTGTCTCTCACTGTTCAAATAAACCTACCATTAAAATTATAGACTGATCATTTCTTTGTCAGTGGGCAAACGTACAAAATCAGCATGGGATCAAATACTTTTTTCCCTCACTGTATGTTGTACATCAGTTGTACAACTTGAGTGTGTACGGGGCCAGTATGTGTCTTTGTTGATTGTAAAGAGAAAATGATCTGCATTCCGCAATCAATAATGGAGTCATTTACATTTGAGTAATTGATCAGAAACTCTTATCCAGCACGGATTACAGTTAGTGCATTCACCTTAAAGGGAAAATCCACTCAAAAACGAAATGTTTGTATTTTTTTCATTAATCCAGTGTTGGTACAGTCCCAAATGTTT